CATCTGCACTCCCATGTTTATTGCATTACTATTCACAATAGCCAAGATATGGAATCAATCTAAGTGTCCAACAATGGGTGAATGGATAAAGAAAATGTGATATAATATAATGGAATATTATTCAGCCATAAAAAGGAAGGAAATCTTGTCATTTGTTACAACATGGATAAACTTGGAGACATTATATTTAGTGAAATAAGCCAGGCACAGAAAGACAAATACCACATGTTCTTACTCATATGCATAATCTAAACACATGAATCTCACAGAAGTAGTGAATAGAATAATGGTCACCAGAAACTGGGGAGAGTAGAAGTAAGGAGGAAAGGGGAGAGGATGGTCAACAAGTACAAAGTTACAATTAGAAAGGAAGAAAAGGTTCTGGTGTCCTATAATACAGTAGGGTGACTATAATTAACAAAAAAGTATTGTATATCTCAAAAGAGCAGGAAGAGAGGATTTTGTATGTTCCTACCACAAATAAATGATAAATATTTGAGGTGATGAGTATGCTAATTACCTTTATTTGATCACTGTACAATGTATACAGGTATCAAAACATCACATTTTACCATATAAATAGGTACTATCATTATGTGTCAATTAAAATAATTTTTTTAAAAGTGGTTCTGGGAAGGTGAGATATCTACATGTAAAAGAGTAAATGTGGGCCCCTACATCATACCACTTACAAACATGTACTCAAAATGAATCGAAGTCCTAAATGTAAGAGCTAAAGGTATAAAACTGTTAGAAGAAAATATAAGGATAAATCTTCACAACCCTGTAGTAGGTAACAGTTTCTTAAATGTGACACTAAAAGCTCAAGCGACAAAAGAAAAAGAGATAAATTGGATTTAATCATCATGTAAAACATTTGTGTTTCAAAAGACACCAGCAAGAAAGTAAAAAACAACCATGTGAAAAAAATATTTACCAGTCATATATCTGAGAAGAGATTCATATGTAGAATATAAAAATAACCTTCACAAGTCAATAATTAAAATATAAATTACATAATTTAAAAGATAGGCAAAAGATATAAAGGCAAAAGATATAAGTAAACATTTCTCCAAATAAGATATGCGAATGGCCAATAAATATATCAAGATATGCCAAAATCAATTAACTATAAGGAAAACACAAATGAAAACCACAATGAGATACCTCTTCACACTCCCTAACATGGCTATAGTCAAAAACACTGAAATATCAAGTGTTGGAGAAGTTGTGGACAAATTGAAACACTGTTGGCAGAAATGTAAAATGGTACAGCCACTTTGCAAAACTGTTTGGTAGTCCCTCAAAAGGTTAAATATAGAGTTACCATATGACTCAGCAATTCCACTCTTAGGTGTGTACCCAGAAGATATGAAAGCTTATGTCCACACAAAAACTTACCCATAAATGCTGATAGGAGCATTTTATTTGGAATAGCTAAAAAGTGTAAAAATGCAAATATCTATCAGTTGATAAGTGGACAAATAAAATATGATTTAGCCACAAATGGGAATATTATTTGCCAATTAGAAGGAATGAAGTACTGATACATGCTATGGCATAGATGAACCTTAAAAATGAGATAGGAGGCAGGACTCAACACGGGGCTCAGACAGTGGACCAAATTGAGTACTAGCTAAAACAGATCTGATGCAGAAGCACCTGCCCATAAGACATGCCCACTAATGTGCCATGTCAGTTTACCATTGCCATGGTAACAACATACCATCCCTTTCCATAGCAATGACCCGATAACCCAGAAGTTACCACTCTCATCGTATAAATTTTTGCACAAACCACCCCTTAATTTTCATATAATTAACAGTGGGAATAAATATGACTGCAAAACTGCCTCTAGGCTGTTATTCTGGGAGTATGGAGTAGCCTTGCTCTGCAAGGAGCAGTACTTCTGCTGCTGCTGTTGTATGCTGCCACTTCAATGAAAGTTGCTGTTTAATGCCACTGGCTCGCCCTTGAGTTATTTCCTGGGCTAAGCCAAGAACCCGCCCAGGCTAGGACTCAATTTTGGGGCTTGCCTGTCTTGCATCATCTGGTGACCAGCGAAGGGAGGAAGACAGTGGAGACGGCAGTGATTGGTGGAGATGGCAGTTATTGATTGGTGGAGACGGTGAGACCTGGATGCTGAGGCAGTACAGAGAGGTAGCGATTGGAGAGAGACAATGAAAGATGGCAGTCAGAGAGGCAGTGAGATAACAAGAGAGAGCAGTTGGTGAGAGTGAAAGATGGCAATCTGCAATACCACAAGGAGAGAGACAGCAAAAAAGTCTGTGATCTTGAGGCTGCAAGAGCTGTAACACTGAGGCTGTAACAATAAATAGCTTCTAACACTACAGAGCTATAACAATAACCAAAGACTCTTTTAAGAGCCATCATCTTTCCCTGGCAGGCAGCAGAGCAAAGTGGAGGAGCAAGTAGCCATGGTGCTGCTGCCTCATGGGACCCACTGCTCCAACCAGCAGGTCAGTGGATTACAGGTCACTGTGCTGCCCCTCTCACAATATGGCAGCTGCGCCCACCCAAGCTGGGGGAACCTGGAGAGACCTATACCCAAGTCATGCATGGGAGATCACTTGGTGCAGTTGGGTGAATGTCTCCTCTCTTCTCCTCCCCAACCATAATATTAGGTAAGGTAGGAAATAAAGGCCTTTGGCTAAGCGGTCAGTTAAAAGTTACCGGCAGTAACTTTTACCTGAAGCACATCTTTGTCACCATTTTTCCTGTTGTTTTTTTTTTTCCCCCCTCACTTTATTTTATTGCTCCCCATTTGTTTTATTTTTAGTTCTAAAAATGTATGTTTTGATTGCAGTCATTTGTTTGTGGTCATGTTTGCTTTCACTTTCTGTTAACTATTTGGCAATTGTTTAAGGCGGGATACTTGGTTGTGAGAGGTCCCCCATTGTGTGGACTCGAGAACACCAGAGTCAAATTGTTCTGCGATCCCAACTTGGTCTGGAGTTCAGTCTTGGCCACCCCTGGGGTGCCTCAAGGTTTTTGGCATTTGGTGAGAGAACACTCATCGGCTGAACTTCGGACACTCCAGGTTTTCAGCATAGGTATTTTTGGTCACTCCACTAAATGCTCTGGGGTTTCTGGCATTGACATTCCCTCTAGGACTCTGGGTTATAGTCCTTCCCCCTAGGGGACTATTGGGCTTGCCATTTTCTACCCTAAAGTTGGAAGTATTATTTTCCTAATAGTCAGCTGCAAGCCCCTTCCTATGTGCTGTCATATAACTGCCTTGCTCAAGCCCTTCTTGTTCAAAGAAACTGAGAGTTCCCAGACTCCTGGCCTGATGAACAGCACCTACAGTAATAGGCAAGTGGCCACCTGAATATTTTTTGGTGTCTCCACTTCTGGGTAGGTTCTCCAGCAAGTCAGGGCCTCTGAAGTCTCCCCTTGGGCAATGCAGTTTACCCTTCCCTTCTTCCTTTCTACAATCACTATTTGTTAGTCCCCCCTTGTATATCGCTCACTCTCTGTGGAATTTAGGTTCAACATCCAACTGCCATTTGTAGTTTGTAATCTACTTTTGTAACACCTTGCTATCTGTAGAAAGTGTGAATTTAAAAAGGGAAAAGTAACTAGGCATTTGCTAAACTTAGGCTAACTAAAACCCCCTGTAGAGATTCTTAGTGTACATGGGGACAACAGTGAGCATCCCAGAGGATTCACAATTAGGGTGTCTTTTAGACAACTGAAGTAAGTTTAAATTAGTGCAAAGAAAACTGGCACGAGTAAAGTATGGGGGAAAATGTCCCCCACGATCCAATCACCTCCTACCAGGTCCCTCCCTCAACACATGGGGATTATAATTTGAGATGACATTTGGGTGGGGACACAGAGCCAAACCATATTATTCTGACCCTGGACCCTCCCAAATCTTGTGTCATTCTCATACTTCAAATCACAATCATGCCTTCCCAACAGTCCCCCAAAGTCTTAACTGATGATGGTATTAAACCAAAAGTCCAAATCCAAAGTCTCTTCTGAGACAAGTCAAGTCCCTTCCACCTATCAGCCTGTAAAATCAAAAGTAAGTTAGTTACTTCCAAGATACAATGGGGGTACTGGCATTGGGTAAATGTTCCTATTCCAAATGGGAGAAATAGGTCAAAACAATGGGGCCACAGGCCCCATGCAAGTCCAAAACCTGTCAGGGCACTCATTAAATCTTAAAACTCCAAAATGATTTCTTTTAACTCCATCTCTAACATCCCAAACATGCTGATGGAAGGGGTGACCTCCCACAGCCCTGGGTAGCTCTGCCCCTGTGACTCTGAGGGTACAGCCCCTGTGGCTGTTTTCACAGGCTGGTGTTGAGTGCCTGCAGCTTTTCCAGGTGTATGGTGCAAGCTGTCAGTGGATCTACTTTTCTGTAGCCTGGAGGACAGTGGTCTTCTTCTCACAGCTCCACTAGGCAGTGTCCCAGTGGAGACTCTGTGTGGGAGCTCCAACCCCACATTTCCCTTCTACACTGCTCTAGCAGAAATTCTCCATGAGGGCTCTGACCCTGCAGCAGACTTCTGCCTGGACATCCAGATGTTTCCATACATCCTCTGAAATCTAGGTGGAGGCTTCCAAACCTCCGCTCTTGTCTTCTGTGCACCTGCAGGCCCAACACCACATAGAAGCCACCAAGGCTTGGGGCTAGCATCCTCTGAAGCAATGACCCCGAACTGTTCCTTGACTCCTTTTAGCCACAGCTGGAGTTGGAGTGGCTGAGACACAGTGTGCTGGATCCTGAGGCTGCACAGAGCAGCAGGGCCCTGGGCCTAGCCCAGGAAACCATTTTTCCTTCCTAGGCCTCTGGACCTGTGATGGAAGGGGCTGCTGTGAAGATCTCTGACATGCCCTGGAGACAATTCCTCATTGTCTTGGCTATTAACATTCAGCTCCTCATTACTTATACAAATTTCTGTAGCTGGCTAAAATTCCTCTCAGAAAATGGGTTTTTCTTTTCTACCATATAGTTAGGCTGCAAGTTTTCCAAACTTTTATGTTCTGTTTCCCCCTTTTTTTTCTGTCCATAAGTTTATTGTCTTTATTTGAAAACCCTTATAGAAAATTGGTTTAGCTCTCAGCAGTCTGCTCCTGAGCTCTGAGGAAGCCTGTCTTCTTTTGAGCTACCTAATCTTTCTTCTGAGCAAGGGACATTTTGGAATGGTTCCACTTCTTCTTTCTAATTTCTTTCTTGGGCTTCTTTTTGTAGACTGGATTCTCTCATATAGCAGCACGAGCTTTCTTATACATTTCCATCATGTCTAGAGTTATACTCTTCTTTATGTATTGAGATAACTGTTTCTTGTAAGCATCTTCATCTTCTTCCATTAAGTAGCATATGTAATCTGCAACATTCTGGCCCATGATGTGCTTCTGGTGTACTTCTGAATTAAATTCTTTGCTTTCAGAATCATAACCAGGGAATCATTTGGTACTGTGAGGGATACAGAAGTCTCCATCCACAGCTCCCTTCAGGGCACCAAAAACTTTATTGCCAGTGGTAGTTCTGGCAAGGCCTGTATCCAAACAGCAGGTAAAGGCACCCGGATGACCATCAATGCTTTCCACGTTGTATTCATTGCCAGTCATCTTTACTTGGCCTTCATAGATCTTGTCCACATCAAACCTTTTGAGAAGCCTGTGGATCAGCAGCAGGCCAGTATAATATGCTGCAGCATAATTTGTCAGGTCGACCTTCACACCATATTTTGGTAGTTCAAGTGCATATGCTGCACAGACTATCATATCCCCCTCTATACAGGCATAAGCAATCTGACAAATGATACCTCTTTTTGTTACATGAACGATCATCCTATATTTGGGTGTGTTGTATTTATTTTTATCCTGTATCACCAAGCATTTCTGAGCACAGTAATCATTTTTACCCTCTCATCATCTTCTAAATTTCACTTGGTATCTCTCAAAGTAGGCCTTATTCTTAACAACTTTAAGAAACCCCATCCTGTGGAACAGAGACCTCTGCTTCCCTCTTAAACATAAGTTCCAATTTTGAACCATCTCTTTGTGAGTGCATATAGCTGAATGCTTTCAGAATCAGCCAGGCCACATCTTGAATGCTTGGCTGCTTAGAAATTTCTTCTGCCAGATACCCTAAATAATCTCTCTCAAGTTCAAAGTTCCACAGATCTCTAGGCCAGAGACAAAATGCTGCCTGTATATTTGCTAAAGCATAGCATAAGTGACCTTTGCTCTATTTCCCAAAAAGTTCCTCATCTGCATCTAAAACTGCCAGAGGCTTTCAAGCAAAGCGACTCCATTTTGAGTGAGGGTTAGGAAAATGAGGCTGAGACTTGCTGGGCTACATTTCCAGAAAATTAGGTGTTACTAGCCTCTAGATGTTTTTGGTTAAGGGAACAAATTTATGATGTTTATTGAAACAGACCCAGACTTGGGATTGTCCAGATATCCTGATATCTGGAGAACAAGGACATTCCTAATTTTGCTTTAAAGATAATAATATTGATTCTTATAAAATATAGTAATTAAGAAAATTAACCGTTTATCACAAACCCTTGTAGCAGAGCACATCTCCCCAAGAGCTATTTTTATCCTATAAATATACAAGCATTGTACCTAGGGTGGAAGGGTTCCTCTTCTTACTTTCAGGAACATCCTACTCTGTCTATGGAGTAGCTGTCCTTTCACTGCTTTACTTTCTTAATAAACATGCTTTTACTTTGCACTGTGGACTAACCCTGAATTATTTCTTGTGTGACATCCAAGAACCCTCTCTTGGGGTCTGGATCAGGACTCCTTTTCAGTTAACAAAACCACCTCAGCCTGGACTTCATTGTCTATGTCACTGTCAGCATTTTGGTCGAAACCATTTAACAAGTCTCTAAGAAGTTCCAAATTTTCCCGCATCTTTCTGTCTTCTTCTGAGTTCTCCAAACTATTCCAACCTCTGCCTGTTGCCCAGTTCTAAAGTCACTTCAACATTTTCAGGTTATCTTCATAGCATGACCACACTCCCAGTAACAATTCTCTGTATTAGTCAATTTTCACACTGCTATAAAGATACTTACCTGAGACTGGGTAATTTATAAGCAAAGAGGTTTAACTGACTCACAGTTCTGCATGACTTTGGAGGCCTCAGGAAGTTTATGATCATAGGTAAAGGTGAAGGGGAAGCAGACACCTTCTTCACAAGGTGGCAGGAGAGAACTGGTGAGTGCAGAAAAAACTGCCACTTTTAAAACCATCAGATCTTGTGGGAACTTCCTAACTATCACAAGAACAGCATGGGAGAAACCACCTCCATGATCCAATCACCTCCCACCAGGTCCCTCTCTTGACATGTAGAGATTACAATTTAAGGTGAGATTTGGGTGGGGACATGGACCCAAACCCATATCACATCCCAATCTTGCTTATTTCCTTCCTTCTGCTTGTTTTAGATTTAGTTTACTGTTTTGTTTTCAGTGTCTTAAAATTGGAGGTCCTATTATTGATTGGAGATTTTCTTGTATAGGTATTTACAGTTATAAATTCCCCCTTTAACCATTGTTTTAGCCATATCCCATACTTTTTTTGTTGTGCTGGGTTTTTGTTTTCATTCATTTCACAGATTGTCTTTTTTTTCCCCGCTGTCTTCTTAAGGTATAATTGACAAAAATTGTTTATATTTATGGTATACAATGTGATGTTTAAACATATGTATACATTGTGAAATGTTTAAGCCAAAGTAATCAACACATTTAGCACTGCATATATTTATCTTTTGTGTGTGTGTGTGGCGACAGCATTTAAAATATACTCTCTTAGCAATTTTCAAGTATACAATACATTATTAACTATGGTCACCATGCTGTACAATACATCTCCATAACGTATTCATCCTAATTGAAATATTATACCTTTAGACCAACATCTCTACATTTTCTTCCACCTCACCCCCACCCTAGCCCCTGGTAACTACTATTTTACTGTCTGCTTCTATGAGTTGAACTTCTTTGGATTCCACATGTAAGTAATATCATACAGTATTGTCTTTCTCTGCCAGGATTATTTCAGTTAGCATAATGTTGCCAAGTTCCCTCATGTTGTTGAAAATAACAGGAATTTTTTATTACTTAAGCCTAACTAGTATTCTATTGTACATATATACCACACCTTCTTTATCCATTCATCCCTCAATGGACACTTAGGTTGATTCCATATCTTAGTTATTGCGAATCATGCTACAATGCACATGAAGGTGCAGATATCTCTTTGACATACTGATTCTACTTCCTTTGAATAAAGAAAATATGGCCCAGCCTGGTGGCTCATGCCTGCAATCCCAGCACTTTGGGAGGCTGGGGCGGGTGGATCGCTGGAGGTCAGGAGCTCGAGACCAGCCTGAAGAACATGGCAAAATCCCGTCTCTACTAAAAGTACAAAAATTAGCCAGGCATGGTGGTGGGCAACTGTAGTCCCAGCTACTTGGGAGGCTGAGGCAAGAGAATCACTTGAACCTGGGAGGTGGAGGAGGTTGCAGTGAGCCGAGATCATGCCACTGCACTCCAGCCTGGATGACAAGAGTGAGAGTCAGTCAGAAAAATAAAAAAAAAAAAATACATTTTTTTTCTTTGTGTATATACTATAGGTTTTTAAAACTCAGAAGTAAAAATGCTGGCTCATATGATCATTCTATTTTTAATTTTTTCATGAACTTCCATATATTGTTTTTCATATGGCTGTTCTAATTTACATTCCCACCAACAATGTGTTAGGGTTTCCTTTTCTCCACATCTTTGCCAACACTCATTATTTTTTGTGTTTTTGATGATAGCCGTTCTAACAGGTGTGGGGTGATAGGTTCTTGGGGTTTTGATTTTCATTTCACTGATGATTAGTGATGCTGAGCATTTTTTCATATACATATTGCCATTTGTATGTTTTCTTTAGAGAAAAATCTTTTCAAGAGCTTAGCTCGTTTTAAAATCAGGTTACTTGCTTTCTTGCTATTATTTGATTTCCTTATATACTAGAATTTTTTATGGGGGGGTATTTCAGTTTCTCACCCTTATCATCAAGACTCACTGCCTCCCATCATCAATATTTATTGAGCATTTACTGTGTACTAGGCACAACAGAACATACAGAAAACATTGTCCCTGCTCTTGAGAAGCTTACATTCTAAAAAGGTGTAGATAAGAAGCTTACATTCTAAAGAGGTGTAGAAAAAATACACCTCTTTTAAAATGGAATTTTTGTTTGGTGTTTTCTGCAAAGTACTGAGGAAATATTTTGAAAAGTGTCTTTAGGTATAACTTAGCCCCATCATTATTTAGAGAATAGAGGAAGAAAAAGAGGAAGGATTTGAAAGACAGACAATGACAGGTCATTTAGGATAGGTAGGGTTTTAAAGGGAGATAAACACAATCTCATCAATTAAGGAGAGATGAGCTGCAGTAAATAGGATGAGGGAAATAGTTCATGGGATGCAAGCAAAGGAAGCAGGGTGTCTTAGACATTGAGTGGAGCCAGAAAGATCATGCGGCCTTTTTCCAAGTACATGGCCAGCAAGTAGGAATGGTTTTTTTAGTAGACACGGGGTTTCACCATGTTGGCCAGGCTGGTCTCGAACTCCTGACCTCGTGATCCACCTGCCTCAGCCTCCCAAAGTGCTGGGATTACAGATGTGAGCACTGCACCTGGCCGAGAGCAGGCTTTCTCTGGGGAGTTCAGAATCTCATAATAGAACACAGAGAAGTTAAGGGCCAGACCCAATCTGATAGGATGTGTTGGTTGCATTTCCTTTTTGCTGATTTCAAAAGCTTCTTGGTAGGATTGTTGTGACTGATTCACAATCCCTTTCTTGTCATCACCAGCAGCAACCTCAGCCAAGTAATGGTAGTAATCTCCTTTCATTTTGAAATAAAAGACTTTGCTCTCTGCATGTGAAGCATTGGGGAGCAAGACCTTTTCCAAAAGAGACAGTACATCATTGCAGATATCTATTAGCTCTGTCTCAATTTTCTTTGTATTGTCGGGCCATCTGCTGTTTTTTCTCAGCACCTTCCATCTTTTGTTCAATAATTGAAACGACCTTCAAGATGACCTATGGGCTCCTACAACATTTTTGCAAGCAACTGAGAGAAGGTTCCTCTCCTCACTGGACAATTGGGCTTCTCGCTCTGTTACAGATTTCATGCAGGCTACCATGTCATCATATCGCTCAGCCTACTTGGCCAGTTTGGCCTTCTGAAGCAGCTCATTTTTATCCATGATTAGATGTTCTGTTTCTGGATTGGGTGGTGGTGGCAGACCAATGGGGGCTCAGCAGTCTCTGGGGGGCAGCAGTGGTGGCAGTGGGAGGCTCAATTTCCTTATAAACTAGAATATTCACCCCTTTTAAGAAGTATGGTTTGCAAATATTGTCTCCCATTCCACAGCTGGTCTATTTCCTCTACTGAGCCTTTTTTGTGCAGATAGATGCTTTTTATTTTGATGTAGTCCCATTTGTCTACTTCTGCTTTTGTTGTCTATGCTTTGGGGTCATATTTTTTAAAAACCACACCCAGATCCATATCAAGAAGCCTTTTTACCTTTTTCTGTTTTTCTCCTCTTAGTTTTACAGTTTCATGTGTTACATTTAAGTATTTAATCCATTTTAATTTGATTTTTGGATATAGTATGAGATAAGGATCCAATTTTATTTTCTGTATGTGGTTATCTAGTTGTCCTAACACCATTTATTAAATAGAGTGACCTTTCCCATTGTGTCTTCTTGGTATCTTTGTCAAAGATGAATTGACCAAAAATGTGTAGATTCATTTCTGGCTCTCAATTCTGTTGTATTGGTTTACACATGCATTTTTATATCAGCACCATGCTGTTTTTTGTTAACTTTGTAGTACATTTTGAAATAAAGTAGTGTGATGCCTCTTGCTTTATTCCTTTTTGCTTATGATTGCTTTGGCTATTTGAGGCTTTTGTGGTTCCATACAAATTTTAGGATTGCTTTTCCTATTTCTGTGAAAAAATGTCATTGGAATTTTCATACGAATTGTATTGAATCTCCACATTTCTCTGGGTAGTATGAACATTTTAACAATATTAATATCTTTAATCCATGAAAGTGAAATACGTTTCCATTTATCTGTGTCTTGTTCAACATCATCTATCAATGTTTTATAGTTTTCAGTGTGTAGGTATTTCATCTCTTTGGTCAAATTTATTCTTAAGTATTTTATTCTTTCTAATGCTATTGCAAATGAGATTGTGTTGTCAACTTCTTTTTATTGATAGCTCATTGTTAGTGTATAAAAATGCAACTGATTTTTACTTGTTGATTTTTATTCTGTAACTTTATTGAATTTGTGGGTTAGTTCTAAGAGTTATTTGGTGGAGTTGTTAGGGTTTTCTATATACAAGATTATGTTATCTGCAAACAGATAATTTCACTCCTTCCTTTCCAATCTGCTTGTCTTTTTTTTTTTTTCCTGCAATTGCTGTGGCTAGGACTTCCTGCATTATATTGAATAGAAAGGGCAAGAGTGGGCACCCTTATCTTGTTCCTGATCTTAGAAGAAAAACTATCAGTTTTTCACTATTTAATATGACATATTAGCTGTGAACTTATCACATATGGTCTTTATTATGTTGAGATACACTCCTTCTGCTATGGTTTGAATATTTTTTCCCTCCAAAACTCATGGTGAAATTTAATCCTCACAGTGGCAGTACTGAGAGGTGATGCTGAGCCCTCATGAATAGACTAATCCATTTATGAATTAATGGGTTAATAGATGATCATGGGAGTAGAACTGGTGGCTTCACAAAAAAGGAAGAGAGATCTGAGCTAGCATCTTCAGCTCCTCCCCATGTGATAACCTGAGTTGGTTAATGACTCTGTACAGAGTTCCTATCAGCAAGAAGGCACTCACCAGATACAACCCCTGCCCTTGGACTTCTCAGTCTCTATAACTGTGAAAAATAAATTTCTTTTCTTCACAAATTACCCAGTTTCAGTTTGTTATAAGCCAGAGAAAACAAACCAAGAAACCTTCCATACCTAATTTGTTGAGACAATATGAGGGATATTGGCTTATACTTTTCTTCCTTCCCTGGCGTTTGTAACAAAGTAATGCTGGCTTTATAAAATTACTTTGGAAGTCTTGTCTTCTCTTTACTTTTTTGAAAGAGTAAGAGCAATTAGCGTTAATTCTTCTTTAGGTGTTTGGTAAAATTAACCAGTGAAGCCATCTTGTCCCGGGTTTTTTTTTTTTTTTTTTTTTTTTTGCTGTTGTTGGTAGTTTTTTTATTATAAATTTAACCTCTCACTCATTACTGGTCTGTTCAAATGTTCTCTTTCTTCATGATTTAATCTTGGTAGATTGTATATTTCTAGAAATTTATCTATTTCTTCTAGGTTACTGAATATATTGTTGTATAATTGTTTATAATAGGCTCTTAGGATCCTTTATATTTCTGTATCCGTTATAATGCTTTCTCTTTCATTTATAATTTTTAGTCTTCTCTTTTTTCACAGTTTAGCTAAAAGTTTGTCAATTTTTATGTTTTCAAAAAACCAACTGTTTCTTTGATTTCTGTTATTTTTATTATCTCCATTTCCTTTATTTCTGCTCTGATCTTTATTATTTCCTTTCTTCTGTAACTTTAGGATTAGCTTCTTCTTTTTCTAGTTCCCTGTGGCATCAAGAAAAGTTGTTCAAGATCTTCCTCTTCTCTTATAGGCATTCATTTGTCTCTATAAACTCCCCTCTTAGAGCTATGTTTGTTATATCCCATGAATTTTGATTTTTTTTCATTTTCCTTTGTCTCAACATTTTTTTTTTTATTGTAAAATTTCTTTTGTAAGACATTGGTTGTCAGTAGTGTGTTGTTTAAGTTTCATATATTTGCAAATTTTCCAATTTGCCTCGTTATTAATTTCTAGCTTTATATCACTGTGTTTGAAAAAGTTACTTGACATGGCTGGGCGTGGTGGCTTATACCTGTAATCCCAGCACTTTGGGAGGCCGAGGTGGGTGGATCACCTGAGGTCAAGAGTTCGAGACCAGCCTGGTCAACATGGCGAAATCCCGTATCTACTAAAAATACAAAAATTAGCTAGGTGTGGCAGTAGGCATCTGTAATCCCAGCTACTTGGAAGGCTGAGGCAGGGGAATCACTTGAATTTGAGGGGCAAAGGTTGCAGTGAGCCAAGATCATGCCGCTTCACTCCAGCCTGGGTGAAAGGGTGAAACTCCATCTCAAAAAAAAAAAAAAAAAAAAAAGAGAGAAAGTTACATGACACAACTTCAAGCTTCTTAAATGTCCTAAAACTTGTTTTGTGGCCTAACACAGGATCCATCCTGAATAATGTTATGTGCACATAAGAAGAATGTGTATTCCACTAGTGTTGGATGGAATAATCTGTATGGTTCTTAGTTCTATTTGGTCTACCATGTTATTCAACTCTGCTGTTTCTTTATTTTCTGTCTAGATGATCTATCCATTGTTGCAAATAAGATGTTGAAGTCCCCTACTATTATTATATTGCTGTCCATTTCTTCCTTCAGTTCTGCTAATATTTATCTATTTAAGTGCTTTGATATTGGGCACATATGAATCTATGATTAATACATCCTCTTGGTGAATTGACCCCTAGATCATTTTATAATGACCTTTTCTCTTGTGAAACTTTTTGACATAAAATATATTTTGTCTGATAGAAATTTAGCATCCCTGTTTTCTTTTGGCTACTGATTACACGGAATATTTTTTCCATCTCTTTATTTTCAGACTGTATGTGTCCTTAAAGCTAAAACGAGACTCTTAGAGAGAGTGTATAGTTGAATTTTATTTGTTTTTGCATCCATTCAACCACTCTATTTTTGATTGGAGAATTTAATTTACATTTAATGTAATTATTGATAGGTAAGGAATTATGATTGTCTTTTTGACTGTTTTGTAATTTCTTTATTCCATTCTTCCTCCTTTGATGTCCTCCTATGTGATTTTTTTTGTAGGGGGAGGGCGACGGAGTCTCACTCTGTTGCCCAGGCTGGAGTGCAGTGGTGCAATCTCAGCTCACTGCAATCTCCACCTCCCGGGTTCAAGTGATTCTCCTGCCCCAGCCTCCAGAGTAGCTAGGACTACTGGCACCCAACACTGCGCCCGGCTAATTTTTGTATTTTTAGTAGAGATGGGGTTTCGCCATGTTGGCCATGCTGGCCTTGAACTCCTGACCTCAGGTAGTCCACCTACCTCAGCCTCCCTAAGTGCTGGGATTACAGGCGTGAGCCACTGTGTCTGGCCAAGTCTTGTAGCTTTCTAATTCCACACTTCAGCTAAGGCATAGGAATTTTTCTGTAAATTTTCTGAGTGCCCATGGCCTAAATTCGCAGCCATCAGAGATACTATAGCTCTTCTCAGTGGCTCTGCAATGAAGCACTAGAGTACATTAACCTCTAGTTTGCAGTTTAGCGCAATGTTTATTGCAGTGAAAGGTATTTTCATACTAAGTGGTATGTGCAGGTAAACCGAAATGCTATACATATAAATGAGCCCTGAGAATATTATTGGAGGAAAAGTTTTTAAATGAGGAAGACTAAATCTTGGGTTAGAAAACTTTCCCTCTTTCTCCATGGTATGCAGAGTAAGTACCAGATATTTTGGTCTCAGCCCTCCTAGATCCCATCTGCCTGTCTTCTCAGGATGCTTAAATATCTTTTCTGTTTAGTCTCAAAGTCTATTCCAATTTATAAGAGTTAATTACTAATGCACATATGGGTATTGGGGGGAATTGCATGAAATACAAACCAATATTAACAGAAGTTATTATTTTGGTGTATTGCCTACCACTGAACATATACCTCCCTGCGGATCCCCATCTGCCTCCAATTATACTCCCACAGCTGTGGGTGAATAGGCATTACTTAAGTGGGAGTAAAAAAAAAATATGCTATTTTATCTGTTAGCCTATTAAATAGTTACAGTACTGAAAATATGTCTTTTGTGCCACCCTCCTGGAATTTTCACCAGCTGCCAAGCTTTTTCCCACCTCCAAATTCTTATTGGGCTTTGGTCCTCTTTTAATAGCTTTCATGTAATTTTTTTTACACATTTTATCTCAACTTGTTGTCAGTACTTATTGAGGAGATATAATTGAGAACTGGCAAGTAACCAAATCCTTGGAAAAAAGATAAAGCACGAGATAGTATCAACAAACAAATTTCACCCTTTTTTTCTATTTACTTAAGCAAGCTACTATCAGGGAGGTTCCCAAACATGTCCAACAGTTAAGCCGTCTTACCTACAGCTTCCACCCTGGAAGGCTGTAGTATCACATAACCATATACATACTTACAGCATAAATCATATATCTAATCATCCCCACTCACTGCAAAATGATAAATTCTCCCAAATTATCATTTAATCAAGCGACTTTCCTGTTCAAGAGTGTAATGGCTTAAGGTGCTCATTATATAACAAACTGGAATTAAATACGGTACTTCTAATAATGACTTCTTCCAATCAGTCCAAACTGGGTTCCCACTTATTCCCTATGATATACATCTCCGTACCGTAAAACTTTATCCTTTCTGCTCGGCGTGTTGGCACATTCTGTTCCTCCCACTAGAATATTTCCTGCACTTATTCAAATCATACCTATGACCACTGCAGAAATCCAGGCACATGATCATTCCATCCAAACCCCTGCGCTCAGAGACTTGACCAAACTCTAGCACAGCTTTAGCAGCATAAGGTCCTGTGCCCAGGACGACTGCCTCAGTAAGCTGAACTACGTGATGTAACCAGCACAGAACTGATGATAGGTCTCTGACATCCCTTTCTTAGAACATTTACTAAAGGGCCTACAGTTGTAAATACTTATTTCTTGCTACTCAGAAGTTCTCGCTCAAGGACCAGAGAGCCATTCCCTGGAAATGTAATCAAGAAGGATAAAATCCTCCGTAGGAGGATACAATCCTGCGGTAACTGTGGAAACACACACACACACACAGCTGGCCTAATCACATTTACACTAACAACTCTGTAGGTTCACTTTCTCTACTGAGCGCCCGCATATCCCTTTTCTCCTTTTAAAAGGCCCCTTTAAAAATGCCCAGGTCACCTCTGCACAAATCGAAATAGTGCTCAGCTCTTTCCTGTCAAGTAGTTAACTGAACAAATGTTTTCACCGCTTTAACGTCCAGCTGCGCTTATTTTTGACATCGACTACCTAAGGTCTACCTTTAGTCCTACGACTCTGACAAAACGATCTCAATATTGGCGCAAAATGACCTCCCCTTTCAAGGATCTTCCAAAGCACTTCCTGTCTGAGGCATACAAAATGTATTGGCACGGAATTTTACACTTACTGAGCTTTATAAACACCTCGTCACATCCACACATTCAGGACACACACTAGGTATTCGGGTAAAAACAAAAAACAAACAAACAAAAACACAAAAAACTGGCTAAATACCCATTCCCCTCAATAACTCGGATGAGATATCTAAAAAGGGTCGACCTTCGGTACCTTTCTGTCCTCTCCCCTCTCGCTGTTTGACTACACTGGCTTCCTTGCCTCCCCTTTTTCCCACGTTTATCGGAGCCAAAACAAGCACGGTTCAGCAGCCTCCTTTCCCAGCCCTAACCCTGTGCTGCAAAAGCGAAAATTCCAAGCCAAGAACAGTAAGAGATCGCCCACCCGGGCTCACTCGCGACACTAGGGGGAGCGATACGGCTGCAGGAAAGGGGCAGCCTCGCGGCAGAGGCGGGATTTCCGGGGTCACGGGAACCGGCAGGGGAACAGGATAAAGTCCTCGGAGAAAGGAAAAGGAGCGTGGGATAGTAAAGGCGGCGACGCGAAAAGGAGGGGCTATACAGGAACGGAGGACAGGCGCGGAGGAGGTTCCCGGGGGGAGCAGAAACAAAGGCACGCAAAGCGGAAGAGCGTGTGTAAGGTAGCGGAAAAGGAAGTCACCGCCGCGGCCTGCGGGGCTACGAGGTCGTAAGGGCTGGCCTTAGCGCTTCAGTTTAGTGTTGTTAGTGGGAGAATCCTGAAATGTCGCCGTGGAATGGACTGTAGCGCTCGCTTCTCCAAACGTGTCCCAGACGGCGAGCCTCGCCGGCTCTGCGGCTTGTCTCTTGCAAGCGCCGCGCAGGCCTGCCACCTGCTGGACGTGGAGACGCGGTGCTAAGCGCCACGGGCCGACTGTACGCCGGGCGGGGAAGAAGGGCTCGGGGAAGAGATGAATCGGTCTTCGCAGAGCGCGCCGGGAGATCGCGAGATTACACTTTCAAAAGCATAAGGAGGCTTGCTTTCTACACACTAATTTCGGAGTACATTCGAGGCCCTGTGCTTAGTTAGGTAATGTTCCCTGTGACTTCTGTAATTGTCTTTTATGTATTAAATTGTCTTGCATAACTAAAACTTTTCCTGTATCGTGCCGCCAACTTTTCAAGAACGAAAGATGAGCAACTCCATTCTGGTAGAGGTGTTTTCATTGGAGAATTTTTGAGCTGCAGTAATCCTTTTAACGCTGCACACACATACAGGGGTTACACGTGTAGGGGATTAAAACCACAGTTAAGTTATAGGTTGAAGGGGCTGTTAAGGACTTCAGGCAACATCTAAATAAACACTCCGTTCTTTTCTCTGTTCCACTTCTGGGAGCCTCCTGTATAGCACCTGTTGCTCTAGGTGCTAGAGGTACGCAGAGGAACTGGACAAGGGCAAGAAAAACAAAGGACCCCTTTCGAAGAACTAGCGTTCTGTTGGGAGAGACAAGCTTGTGGTGAGAAGTGTATTTGTGAAATCTACGAGGGCGGGGGAGGAGCGCAGTAATAAAACGGGTGATCCTTTCTTGATTTCTTATTGGGTTCTGGCCTGAAAGGCGACCGTATAATCAGCTGAGATTACTGCAGTGATTAACATTCCAGGAAGGGAAGCCAGCCTGTGAAGGAGCATGGCATTGAGACAGGGTGAGTGGTGAGATTAATAAACAGGATAGTTGGAGGTTTGATTTGTGGCCAGATTCTTAAGTCCCTGTATGGAATTTACGCTTAAGAAAACTATCGTTAGGCACTGCAAATACCCTCTTGCAGCTAAGACTAATTGGAAGACCTGGTTAAAAAACTAATTACAGCAAAGAGTGAGAGAGTGGTGATGAGAGATACAGATGTTGTGAGAGCAGACAATAAGGGGACTTTATGTAGTCCTATGTTAGAGGAGATGATTTGAAGTTACTCTGAGGAAGACAAAAATGTAACGGGAAGAGAGATCGCATATGCGAAAGCTTGAAATGGCGAAAAAATCAGAAGGATTTCAGGAACTGAAAGTTGTGCATTTTGCCTGTGTGAGGGAGAGTGTTGTGGGTGGCATGTAATGAACCTTGAAAGGTAGTTTATATTATGACAGCCTACAACCGAATCAGAACTTTTAAAAACAGGCGATATACAGACAGTCTGAAATCAAATGCTTCTGATTTCTATTGCGTGCTCTAGGCTAATTGTTTTCTAAGTATGAGTTTGCGTTAGTGTTCTGGATTTAGTGATTACAATATAAGGTGAAATAGGTAAGGGCTTTTAAGAGAAAATCTCACTTATTTCCTGTGCACTAAGGGGGAACAGATCACCTTTGCAGAACTTGAAAAAAAATGGAAAGTGCGACCTTTGAGCTCAGATGGGCTTTCTTTCCTCTTTTCAGTGGCTTGGTAGTGAGCTGCTCAGCTGCACCGAATCTTCTTTGTGGTGGGGCTGCGGGCTGCAACACATCCTGCTTGGCAAGTTTTAAACATGAGTTTTACCCCGAAGAAAGCTTATAAAATTGTAAATGCCTCAGAACCTTTTCATCTTCCTGTGATTCTGGAAGAAATCCAAAATACCAGTCGTTTAACTACATGCTTCTGCAGAACCTGAATCTTAAGCTCTGTTCACTTTGTACTATTAGATTCTATAGTAGATTAATAATGACTAACACCTTGTCATCTCATCGCTGAGCTTTTGTCTAAGATAGTCTCTGAATTTAGAACTGGGATGAAAGTATACATAATAGGCTATTATAAAATTTTTAGAATTGGATTTCTAAACTTGGGGTCAGTGAATCTAGCAGGCTCAAGCAGTGTTCTCAGGTTTTTCTGGCACAGACAAGGAATGTAAGAGGAGGAGAGAAAAGGAGAGACGGTAGTGGGAGAGAATAGAATGAGAGAAGAGAGAAAATATGGAATTAATAGTGAAAGGAAACGTGAAGTGTTATAAGATTTTCTTGGAAAAATTGGCATTTCAGTGATCAAAGATACTAATGAGACAAAATACTACTATTACATAAATATTTAATGTTTTAATGATTTGAAGATAAAAGGATATCTGATGGCATTCATACTAAATGCTGTAGTGTTGATGTTGGTGAGAGGGATAATGTATCAAGACAGAGCAGACAGACCCCTTTACAATGAGAGCAGAAGATATGTTGTTTACTGATTCTACTTTCCCACAAAATGCTAATGCTTTTATAAGTTCCTACTCTTTATTTTCTAGATTAACTCTTTGTTTCTTCCCCTAAACAGGATTATGGAAGACAGGCAAAAAGAAAAAAAAAAGGTTTTTTTTAAAGCAACCATCTATGTCCTTATCAGGTTTCTTGAGCACTTTTATTCTGAAGATATTATCAAGGTGGAAATCAGGGCCTCTGCCCCACATGGATCTCCTTCATTGAATTGTATCTTCATACCTGATTAATGGCATATTTTAGGCAAAAGCACCCAGGCATACTGTATTTGACTCTGAATGTGTAGGCCTTCCAGGTTTATTAACTGAACTGGTACGTGACCTTGACAGCTTCCCTAGACTAGAAGCATTCCTCAGGAACCCTGAGCTCTAGTCTATTTGGCCTTCTTAGAATGGGACACTTCCCAAATTGAAGGCAGCCATAGGTTGCAGAGAGGAGAGAGGAGGGAGAAAAGGAGAGAGGGAGAAAGCAAGTTCCCTTTGTTGCCTCAGTAAATAGAATGCAGAAGGGAGGGACACATTAAGTCAAGTCTTATCTCAATACGTACTGGGTAAATTGCCTCTCATTCTGAGAAAGTTGTAGAAAGTGTGTCAGGTTATCCTTAACTCATAATACCTAATAGCCTTGTGAGAAAAATCTGTTCAAATAGTTAAAGTAGAAAGAATACCACTAACCAGACCCTTATAAAATATGTATTATATATAGATATGTAGAATGACTTTGTATTGTCTATTAACCTCATTTTTTTTGAGATGAAGTCTCGCTCTGTCACCCAGGCTGGAGTGCAGTGGCGCGACCTCGGCTTACTGCAAGCTCTGCCTCCTGGGTTCACGCCATTCTCCTGCCTCAGCCTCCTGAATAGCTGGGACTACAGGTGCCCACTACTACGCCCGGCTAATTTTTTGTATTTTTAGTAGAGACGGGGTTTCACCGTGTTAGCCAGGTTGGTCTCGATCTCCTGACCTCTTGATCCGCCCGCCTCGGCCTCCCAAAGTGCTGGGATTACAGGCGTGAGCCACCGTGCCCGGCTATTAACCTCATTTCTTAAAAAGTGTTAATATTTTTATTAGTGATGCAGTAGAGATTATGTTGCATACAAACCCGTTTTGTAAATATGAATAAAACCAGACAAGGAGCTCTTGCCCTTCTTTTCTGAAGAGGAGCAGAGATTCCTCAGCTAGGAGCGATGGAGAAGTTGTGGCTCTTTGGCAAGCTGACCAGAGGCCAGTGAAAGATTATTTGGCTATGCTACCCTCACTTGTAGCTACACCCCTGGGTTTGCATTTTTAAAGAACCCAAGAGTGAAATAGTTCTTCTTTCTCTTTCTTTGAGACAATCTCTCACTCTGTCACGGTGGGTGGAGTGCAGCAATATGATCTCAGCTCACTGCAATTTCTGTCTCCTGGGTTCAAGCTATTCTCCTGCCTTAGCCTCCTGAGTAGCTAGGATTACAGGTGAGTGCCACTACCCCTGGCTAATTTTTGTTTTTTTAGTAGAGATAGGGTTTCGCCATGTTGGCCAGGCTGGTCTTGAACTCCTGACCTCAGGTGATCTGCCTACTTTGGTCTCCCAGAGTGCTGGCATTACAGGCGTGAGCCACCACGCCTGGCCTGAAATAGTTCTCTTTTCTTATTTTGTAAATATAGATTTTATCTTTAGTTTAGAAAATGATGACTAGGTACCGTATTACCTATACAGTAATAACCACAATATGTGTCATTAAGTTCCACAAAAATTTAATGTAAAATTCTGTGTTAAGAGCTGTGAGTAAGATGCAGTCCCTGTCCTGACCACCCCTAAAATTCTACAGCTTATCTCATATGTACCTTTCTGTTATGTTTTCTGGTTGTGCATGATTTTTTAAGAAATATCATTACCTTTAATAAGGACCCTTGCTTAGCTGCCAGACTTGTCAACAAAGAAATTTCAGACATCTGTAGGTGGTAATTATTGTCAGTGGCTACTGATGCAATATATAAAGCAGAGTTCTTAAGAAACTAGTTTTGCAACTGGCAGTTTAGGAGACTGGAAGGAAATCCTGGACAGGAAGAAAATATTTCCCGAGAAGTAAATGTAATGTAGCACACATATAGAGAGAGTAAAATGTGTCAGATGAGTTTAAAGAACAACAAAGTAAATAACTGTGGATGACATTATCTAGGTTAAGAAATAGAATTTACCCGTCTTCTGAAACTTAACTTTTTCAGCACTGGTTAGGTGACTCAACTGATATTTTTCTTCATTCTTCACATCTGTGTTTCTTTTCTTTCTGGTGAAATGCAATGTAACGTAAATTTCAACTCAGGGAACAAAAGTCATTTGTTATAGAAGTAATATATAGCTGTGAAACACTAGTATTACACTGTTTCATAACCATAAAAATTCTGGTTACACATATGTAGGATAATTCTGGTTTTATATATGTGTGTATGAGTATATACATTTGATATTTACTTTACTCCCTAGCAGAGCTGGTATGTTGCTTGATTTTGGTTGTACTTCTGCTTAGAATTTTAAAAATTAGAATGAAAGCCAATAAAGCATCATAATTCCATGCACTGATTTAATGTTATTGGATCCATTTGTACCTAAAGAAAATCCTTAGACTACATGATAAAAGTTTACTGGTGGAAAAAAAAAAGATATCCTTTTATGAAGTTAAGATTATACATTAAGTTTAATGGAACTCTCTAGTAGAGCTCAATAAAAGGAGAGACTTTGCTCTATTTTCAATTAGATATTTGAGTTATTTTTGCTTTATGTGTGAGTATTTTGTTTCTCTGACAAAACTGCAAACTTTTAAAGATGTTTTGTTTCTCTCTGAAATAGCTAACAATGGGGTAATCACTAATAGGAATTCAATAAATAGCTGTTGAATTGCTACAGAACTACCTCTCACCAAATGCTCTTAACGTATGCATATGTGTCTATACACTTGGATCCCATTTCTTGACCAGAAAAGTCTACATATGAATGTAAATTTAATGGTCCATATGCCAAGAAACTAATAACTGTTTTTATTTCTGAGAATGCAGCTAAATGTCTACTTATCTACTTTAAATAATCCAATAAAGAATACCATCCTGTTTTAAAATATTTGTCTTAATTGCTAATCTAGTTACTATGTTTTTAAAATTTTGCCTTTAAAAAAGTAAAGGGAGCTTCAAAACTCATTTTGAATGACATATTTTGGTATATTTTCCTATTTTTCTCACAGACTTTGACCACTGAACTTCGGTCTAAGGGTAGTGAAAGGGGAGGTGAAACAGAAAGAATAGTGGTTGAGTA